CCAGGCAGAGTCAAATGTTTTCCTTGTTCTGTCTGGACATATCTTCTAAAACATCCTTCTTTGCTTAACCCCATTTCCAGTTTCAAACATCTTGTTTTAGAAACCAGAAAAGATGCAAAGTGCACTGCAGCTCCTGCTTGTCCCTTTGCCAGCAGAGGCAGAGGGATGTTGGAACAGTAATCCCTTCTATGTGGTGGCTGATATGGATGGCTGTGCTGCGTTAGTCCATCATGGAGTGCAAAAGTGCCAGATTTGCTCTCTTTTTGACTCCAGCTCTCCAGCAGTAGCAAAAGTCATTTGGGGGAGGGGGAGGGGAGAAGGAAATTAAAAGAAAACCTGTTTTAAAGGGCTTTGCAGTGTTAGAATTTTGACTGCTGCCTCTGTTGAGCAAGTGGTGCACAGGATGGCTCTGGGGCACCCATAAGCTGAACTGCACGGTGTCCCTTCAGCTTGTTGTGCGTTCTGCAGTTACTGCCTGACCCTGCTTTTGTCCATTGGTCTTTTCCTAGAAATATTCAAAACAGCAAAAAGTAAAACAAGGGGTAAAATATTGCAGCTTATATTGGGGTAAAGGAAGAGAGAGAAGCAAGCATCTCTACGTTTCTACCTACAAACTTTAGACAATGACCTGAGGCAATGCTAGTACTGAAGACATCCTGCTGGAAGTTCTGGTTCCAGCCTCAAGTCCACATCTGTTAGAACAAAAACAAAGCAGCCCATTCTCCTCATGGTCCCCTTTGCCCAGATGTTCCCCTTCTGCCACCGGAGCCAAGGGCTTTACAGGCTGGTGAAAAATCCTCTTCAGCCTGTCAGTCCAACCTGTTTCATGGGCTCCATAAGTGTATGTTATGACCATCATAGTACCCCATAAACCTTGTGGAAAAGGAGGGACCACATACTCAGCCAGGCAGAAAGGCCCTTTGGCTTTTATATACACGGGCACACAGATACACAGTCTTCCACTGCAAAATGTGAGCCTGCATTGCTCGTCTCTGCCCTCCTTTGCCATTCCCCCCTTTCTTCTATTTCTGTCCTCCCTGCAAGCTCGTGCTCAGCTTTTTTCTTTCCCTCAGAGCAGTTACCCAAAGATATAAGCGTGTCACTCTCACCTCCTAAACTAGGCCACTGAAGAGAAAGAAGAAATGGAGGAGCTGCAGGCCTATAACAGACGCCTCCTCCACAACATTTTGCCGAAGGATGTGGCAGCCCATTTCTTGGCTCAGGAGCGGCGGAATGATGAACTGTACTACCAGTCCTGCGAGTGTGTGGCTGTCATGTTCGCCTCCATAAGCAACTTCTCTGAGTTTTACGTGGAGCTGGAGGCCAACAATGAGGGGGTGGAGTGCCTGAGGCTGCTCAATGAGATCATTGCCGATTTTGATGAAGTAAGTCACAGAAAAATCGTGTTGCTAAAGAAAACTGAACGATGAGTTCATTTATTTGGGCTTTGCTGAGCTTATGAAGGAAGGTGGCTTACTGAATCCTCGTGTCATGTTTCATTTCTCCTCACTCCAGAAATCTTTAATTCTTTTTCTTTCAGATGAAAGTCCCTTTCCTTCCCTTGTCCATCCTCAGAATGATTAATCCCCTTTCCTTCTGTAATTTGAGTAATGGAGACTCTGTCCAGCACTTTGTAGTGCTTGTATCAAGGCAGGGTACTTGGCAAGGATGTGCCAGCATGTATGCATTTGACAAGTTTATTCAGTTCCCTTGCAATTCTCTTGTGTAACAGATAATAAGTGAAGACCAATTTCGGCAGCTGGAGAAGATCAAAACCATTGGCAGTACATATATGGCTGCGTCAGGCCTCAATGACTCCACTTACGACAAGGAAGGGAAGACGCATATCAAAGCTCTGGCTGATTTTGCCATGAGGTTAATGGACCAAATGAAATACATTAATGAACATTCATTCAACAACTTCCAGATGAAGATAGGTAATGTCACTGTTTATGGGATTAAGTATTGGTAGCTGTCATTCTGAGCCGGGGATCTTAGAGAGGAAACTACATAGACGTTACCTTAGCTGTGCAGGGACGTTGATTGTTCTGTACCCAGTGACAGGAAAATAATAGTCTGCCTGCCTCAGCCTCTGTGAAATGTCAGAGCAGTTCAGTTAAGGCTGAGATGTTATTACCAAAGCTCCCTGGAGAACCAGGAGTGATTGAGCAACAGTCCTCTGTGCACAGAATCTGTTATCACAGCATGGTCACACGGGGTGGTTCTGCTTGGGCTCACTGCATCTGCGATGTGCTCTCCTGCCCGCACTCCCAGTGGTGCCATTCAACAGCTGGTATTGGACAGTGGAATAAAAGAGACAGGAGAGGAGATTAAAGACTGAGGATGTCCAGTGTTGAGTTTACTCAGGAGGCTTTCAGGGTGCCACAGTGCCCATCTTGCAACTGCCCAGCATCACAGTAGCTGTGTACACATGTCCAATGCTTGGCAGCTGGGTGGCAAATAACCCTTATCCCATTGTCTGGCATTGGAAAATAGATGTGGATTGAGCAGCTGATCAAAGCAGCCAACTTTAATTTATGATGTCTTTTCCTGACTGAAAAACAACCTGCCTCAAGCTTCATATGTGATGCATTTCTCCCCTACTTCTAGGCCTTAATATTGGTCCTGTTGTAGCTGGGGTGATAGGGGCACGTAAGCCCCAGTATGACATATGGGGAAACACGGTGAATGTAGCCAGCCGAATGGACAGCACAGGGGTGCCCGACAGGATTCAGGTAAGGCGCTCACTGGAGAACTCATTTATAGTGCCTGTGTCATGGTTTTTTGAAACTTAATCAGAATTGGAATTTGTGTTTTATTCATTTATGTCATATACTTACTTACACAGCACTGAGAGAAAAGCAAACCGGGGGATGCCAGTGGTAGCATCACGTTATGCCTTTAATTTTGACCAGTGGAACAGCCTTGGGTCAAACACTTGCAAAGTAGTTCTGAGTGGAAGTGTTGAGCTGAGTTTCCTTCCAGCTGTGATGCCTGCCACCCACCCTGTGGGACTGCACACAAGTGTGGGCTGTTTGATTTTGCGAGGATTTGAGTCACAAATGTGTTTCTGTCTGTCACTTCTCTGTTTGCTGTGCCTTCCCTGTTGTGAAGCTAGCCAGGAGCCAGGCATTACTGGAATGGGAGTAACAACCTGAAGAGTGAGGGCAGTTAAACTGGTTAATGGAAAGCTGCAATCCAGGCATCTCCTTGGTGCTCAGGCAGTGACGTTCCCAGGGATTCATTTCACTGTCCTGCTTTTGCTGAGCCAATGCCCGCACCTGCAGATTGTTGTTCCCTAGGAAAGTACTGAAGAGATGTAAAAAATAATTGCAGTAACTGATGTGAAAGCCGAGAGGGAAAGTTCATGTTGTCTCTTTCCAACTCAGCTGTCAGGTAACCAGATCAATCTGGATCAGTATTTATCCAACACCATTTAAACTGTCCCTCAAGACAGTCCCCAAACAATTTTTCTTCAAGTTAAGCAAAACAATACAGCAACATTACAGCATTTGGAAGGCAGGCATGGAAATATTAGAAGCTACCTGAAAAAGGATGAGAAAATACAAAGAAAGGGTTTGCCATTGAGCAGATAGGAATTAACAGGAATTTACTGCTGTTTTTGTGGTGCTTGTTTGTCAAAGTTCATGTTCATGTGAGGAGTTAATGTTTATGTGACGTTCACACGATGGGTCTGTCGGTGGGTGCTGTGAGTTAGATCTCAAGTTAGAACTCAAGTGCTGTGAGTCAGATCTCAAAATCTTGAGGTCTGGTTGGTTGAAGTGCCTGATAGGATTTTGCAAACTACGCTTTGAGCCCCAGTTGGTAACTGAGAGCAGCAAAATACCTAAAAGCTATGTCTTGGAAAGTGCAGCTCTCTCCAACTCATGTACCTGTATGGCTTCTGTAGCTGCTCGGTTTCTAAAGGCTGTGTTTGTTCTGCAGCTTTTGATATCCAATCTCTCAGTGACTGATAGGAGAGTCAACTTAGAAACAGAACGATCCTCCTTTAACGCTACCTGTTGTTCACCTCAAAAACAAATGAACAGACTGTGTGGAAAGCATGACAGGCACTTGCTAACTCTCATTTATTCCGCAGGTTACCACAGACATGTACCAGGTTTTAGCAGCCAACAACTATCAGCTGGAATACCGAGGGGTCATTAAGGTCAAAGGCAAAGGAGAAATGACCACCTACTTCCTAAACGAAGGGCCTCCAATTAGTTAGCACCAACTGCAGCATCGCTCAAAGGTGGGATCTGCATTACAGAAGATTGTGACTCGGAGAAGAATCACTTAAAAATGCAAAGCAGTTGAAATTTCACACAGTGACTCTAGGGCTGGTATCAGCAAACTCTTTGGCCACCTGTCCCCAAAGGCAATGGAGAGAAACCACCTGGGATTTGCTCCTGGCTGAGTGCTAAACCGACCAAAGATGTGTACTACAGCATTCACAGATAAGACGTGAATTTGGAGTTCTTACCAAGGCTGCTACTGCAGGATGATCTAAGAAGCTATTTAAGTATTTATTGACGCAACACAACATTTACTTGGTTGAAGGAATGTATGATTCACTACAAAGCATTATTTTGGAATGGATTTGCACTCCCATAACGTTTCCATCCCATACTGCCAGCTATTTGAAGTGTACCACTGTGCTTTTATTAGCTGTTTTGAATGGGCTTTCAAAATTGACACCCACTGTTGCAGCACACAAAAAGGCCTTTTAGAATGGCATCGTTAATGTTTTAGTGTGAGAAGACATTTTAGCCCTGGCCTTCTTTTCTCCCTTCTTTTACATGGCTCAATGACTGCTCTTCTGAGCGGGGCTGGCACATCTACTGACGGGGAAGATCGAGATCAAGAAAGAAGGTTGGACAAACATATTTATTACAAAGTCTTCTGTGCTCATCCTCGGTATATATCAGTTTACATGGGAAAGACTAGATGTAAACAAGAGACACTTTGTGGGAGAGAACTCCCCTGAAATTTGTTGTGGGTTTTTTTTTGTTTTGTTTTTGTTTTTTTTTTTTATTTTTTATTTTGTAATATTGAAAACATGGAGATCTAACAAATACCAAATTCTATATTTTGTAAATTATATATAAATTAGAAGGCAGGCTGTCCACACCAAGGTGTGTTGGGAGGTGTATATAACCTGTTAGACTTGTGTAATTTTTTGTGCATAATACTCTGAACACAGACTTGGCAGTTTTCAGATTATCACTATACAATCAAACAGGTGAGGTTCCGGGCTGAATCAGATGCATTTTAAAAGGAAAATCCAGAAAAATCTGCAATCCTGAAGAAGAGGAAAAAAAAAAAAACCCAAACCCAACAAGGTACAGTAGTACAATGCAGCATTCACACAGAAGGTGGCATCTTAACAATATATAGGACTTATTTTATGAGCTTTAGCTAATGAGACAGTATCTGTCGAGCATGTTAAAAAGCTCTAAGCAGACCTTCTAATTAACTGTAACAGGAACTCTTATGAGGAAAAAAAAATTGAACTTTTATTTGGAAAAAAGCAATTTTCAGAGATGGATTAATAGGATCTGATGATATGAGAATCGTCTGATATTGTAACTGCCATTTGACATTACAAAGAACTATGTACTGCAGCACAGAGTTGACTTTCCTGTAGTAAGCACTTATTTAAACTGTCACATTTTCCATTTTCAGGAGTTAATTAGCTGATCTTCAAAAAGAGGCTTTGATGGCAAATGTGTGTATGAGATGAGTGACCTTAAAATACAGTGCCATTGATATTGTGTCCGACATCTTTATCACTAGCGGGGGTTTATGAATAGTTCACTGTTACCATTTATGTACCTTTTCTAGCTATGAAAGAAAAATCCCTTGATATTTTATTAAAGAAAAGAAAAGATTTTAAAAAGTTATATTTTTTATATTCTATGAGGGGTGAGTTTTGATATTGAATTTGGCTAGCGCTAAAAGTGGCTCCAATCTTTTGACATTTAATAAAGTTCTTTTCCACTCTTCTCAGGGCAGAATTATTGTAGTACTAACACCTTAATGGTTGCACTGTGGTGGTAATTTATTTTTTTTCCTACTTGACAACAAGAATAAGTAAAAATCCATGGGTCGGTCTTAAGTTGCCATATTGCTAAGCATAACCCTAGCATTAAGCCATTTAAGTGCGAGCTTAAATGGCATTGCCCCTTTCCTTCCCCTTGGAAACATTTCTGAAAAGTATAGTATAGACTTCTGTAAAACTGCCAAGTCTGCCCTTGTACTATACTTTTGCTCCTTGCCATCCCTCCTGGTGCGCAGAATACTTACATTGCATCACCCCATTATGTATTTCTTTCCCCCTCCGCCTCCCCCCCTCCATCCCCTCACTCAGCTCCATTACCTCCATGCCATACACTCACTTTTAGGTTTGCTTTCTGCTTTATGAACGTCTGCAGTCTTCTTAACTTTCGATTCATCTTAGGAGGTTGTGTTGTCAATGAAATTTCAAGTCCCCAGTATCTCTAGCTGTGATTGTTGACAGTGTGTCATGATCATTTCAAGGGGTATTCACACACTCTTTATTCTGGATCTTGCAAAAATGGATACAGTTATGATTTCCCATGGAAATTGAAATCTATTTAAGTAATTTAACTATATTAAACACTGTTTCACTGGTAAAGCGTGTCTGTTTTATTTTAGATGCAGCTGGCTAGTGAAGAGATTAGATGGCACAGAGCAGCAGTCAGTTCTCAACTACAGAGGGATGATGGGGCCACACCAGTACTGTACAGTACCCACTTAGAGCTCTCCCAGTCCCTGCCTCCACAGGGGGCATCCCAACTCCCCTCTAGTGCAGGAATGCTGTACACATTTACCTTGAGCCGTTAGTCCTGGGACAGCTGACACATCCTGACAGCAGCACTATGAATAGCTGATTTAAAAAATAAAAATAAAAAAAGTGTATTTGAAGTAGATCTTAGTTTCCAAAGCATTCCATAGATACCTGTCTATTTGTCCTCACAAAGACACCTTAAAGAAGGCAGCTGCTTGGGCAACGCAGCCCCTGTCAGTTTTCTAGGTAAAAGTTGCTGGATTGCTCCACTAAGTGCCACACTTATCTACACCAATCCCCAGAAGTCTGAGGTGGAACTGGGAAACAAAAGGCTCCGTCTTCTCACTGATTTTTTTTCAGTTCAGGGTCCTTTTATACAGGCAGGTAAAAATGGAATGAATGACTTCAAATCTGTTCCTTGCTAGGTGAGATTTCGTACATATACTGAGACTAAACCTGCATTAAGAAGGAGGGATAAATGTCTTAAAAGACAGGCTTAAAAACCAGCCCTCAGGAAGGTGCTGGGGAGTTGCTTCATGCTGTCATGAAGCAGCATCTCAGGACATTACCTGACATAAGCCACTTCTGGGGCTAGCTGAACAAGGGTATTCCTAAAGGGAGGAAAAACAGTCTTGTGCCCTCTCGTTTAAGTTGAGGATTGTTGCCCACACCCTCTGTTTTCCCTCAGTGTTTTATTTTCCATCCAAAAACCATTTTGATGAATGCTGGCTGCATTGTGTCTGCCTGTGCAGAATTAAATGGTACCTGTAGGAGGCACTGCATTTGTTACAGATGTCCTGCACTGCCAGCACACCTGGACCCCATCTTCCTACATTACATTACTTGGGAATAAGCTGCAGCTAAAAACACTGCCTAGAGGGAAAAATCTGCTGTCCACTGCTTCTGAAGACAGTCATTTTGACTTTGAACTTATGGGGGGAACAGGAGCTCTCAAAATTGTCTTAGGATGTTTGCCAGCTAACCCAAAAGCAATGTTCCAATTGAGGGGCAGCAAAGAGCTCATTTGGGATGCAGTCTGCCAGGATCAATGTAGCTGAATGAAGCCAAACCAATCCAAAACAAATGAAAACAAACAAGCAAAAACTCACCTCAGGTTCCATTCTCTTGCTCCCTTGTCACGAGCTTTTCTTCTCCAGAAGAAGCTGGAGCACTTTAGTGCAGTGAAGGCAGCAGCATTGGGCAGTCAGCAGGCAGGCAGTTTGCTGTAAGAAGCAGAGGTTTGCTGTTATCTTCTCATCCCTGAGCACCTCTCTGTCCCCATTTTGCTCAGGAGAGCTGCACAACACGGTGGGGAGACCGTGTGCCTCGCGTCAGGCCTGTCCTGCCCAGGATCAGCATGGACAGAGAAAGCTGCACTACCAGCAGCTGGCCCTACAGCTTTTCGAGCACACTGTTTCAGATCCAAACACCTACAGCCATCTACTGGAAAGAAATATGCAGCTTCAGCTGGGCAGCACAGGCACACTACCCCAAATCAGTCGTTCCTTGGTCCTTCAGTAAAGAAATGATTGATATATTGAAGAATCCATACTGAACGTTAAGTAACCACAATATTTGCAAAGGAAACCATTTTCCATCATCTTGTAGATCTCTGCTAGATTTGAAATATCTAAAAATCAGTCCAAGTACCACATAAATACATTCCAGGATGGAAAGCTGCCTTCTTTCTACATCCCCTCACTAGATACATTCCTTACATGAGAGAGACAGAGCCTGTGTACGTGATTTGGACCCAAATACTGAATGTAAGAGAGCAGACCACCAAGAGAAAGCTCAGGCACTAAAGAAAAGCACATAAGGAAAAATGAATTAAATTTCTAGAAGCTCAAACTGGGCACTCGGGGGTAATCAAACCTCATACAGCAAATCAGCCAAGCGTCGAGTGATTCTTTACTGCAAGCGAACTCAGATCATGACCCTTTGTTCAAAAACAAAACACAAACAAAATGATGGTGAGGCAGCTGGATGGACCCATTCCAACCTTAGAGAGGACAAACTCCATAAACGCAGCATGACCTGGGCTCTGCTTCTACTAGATGCCACAGAACAGCCAAGCAACAGTGAATGGCTGGCACAACTCAAACCAAAACAAACCACGTTGCTCCAGAGAGTATTCATCTTTCATTAATCCATCCTCACAAGTCCAACTTTGATGTCTGCAGCTACCAGCAGGGAAGCACCTACTATTCCTTCAATAACGCTGGATTGTTACAAGCAGACAGGAAGCCCTGGGAATTACCAACTGCTCTCGCTTATCTTGCATTTCATCTTACACAACATTTCAGCACATCCTGACATCACAGTCTAGCTCAAAAGCCACATTTTTAGCACGCAGTAATAGCAAGTGATGAAAAGTCAGACTACCAAACGTGCATCATTGAATTTTCCTTGTGAAATTGTTTTTTTAATCGGTGCCATAAAAACAAGCAAACAAAAATCCAACTGTCCTCTGCTACGTAACAGTTGCATTCATTCACTACACCTGCTAATCATCCACTACTTTAGTGACAGCAGAACTGGAACACAATCATGGCACCACATGCTGTAGCAAAGGAAGTTTTCATTCCTTAAGAAAAGAATTCCTTAAGAAACAGCAGGAAGGACTCACAGAGAAAACAAGATTACCTGCTGACATATAAACCAAAGACATGACACAAGAGAAAAGTCCTCACATGCAGAAAAGCAGAAGCCAAAAACAGAGTAGGTATTTTGGGTGTTCATGAGAACTTCCCTACCAACCAACTAGGGTGAAAAGGCAGCAGGACTGCTCTGGACTTTATGAGCAAGAAAAGCCTGGTTTCTTTCTCAGGTTTACATAATTTTCTTGCCTAAAATGACCTTTTAAAGAACTAAATAAAGTATCTAGCTCTCTTAGTGATAATCTGACTCTAAACACCTACTGAAACACGCACCATTTTGGAATGAACTGTGACACCTTAGAGCACAGCAAAGCTCTGCCAGTCTCCAAATCCAACAGCACAATACATTTTAAAAAAAAAAACCTATTTCAGTGAATTTTTACATTACTACAAATCACACATTAAATTCTCTCAACTTGCATCTCATGAAACAGCACAGATAGCTGCCATCTAATTGCCAAATATAAAAGCAATCTAACTGATCACAGAAATCACAGAAACTGAAAGTGGTACAACACTGCTGCTACTGTATTTTGTGAATGCTAGATGTTTCCTGGTCCATTCCCAAACTTGAGGAATACCTCTGAATACCTCGAGGATGGCCCTCTTGAAGGTAAGAGGTTCTATCACAGCATAAAAACACATAAAGCCACAAAAATGAACAACATTCCAATTTGGTTTTTCATTTATGTTAATCAGACAGATTTATTATCTTCCTGTTTATTTCATTACCCCTCCCATTTGTGAAGGTATAGAAGAAGAAGAATAGCCCTTTTTACTCTTTTTTACTCACCCGCTGGTCCGTTTCCTTTCAACCTCTCCACAGCTCAGGGGAAGTCCTGGGTTGAGTGGCAGAACTCTTCGGACCATTCCTGAAACAAAACCCTGTCCACACAGACCATTTTTGAAGGACAACCGGAAGGAAACCATCGGTGACAAAACATACAAGTGTTTATAGCACTAGAAGGAGGGCCACAGGTGCCAAAGAGCTGATCCCAAGAAACAAAGAGTTTCCAGGTTATGTTTTAATCAAGAAAACACTCACGCAAATGTCAACGTGTAACAAAACATTCCAAAATTTAGTAGATTACATATTCCAAATCTAGTTGGCTAATACGCAACAGCATTTTTAATATTAACTTAGCCTATCCTCTACTGCCTCACAAAGGCAAAACTGATTTTGGAAGTGAAGAGCTTGCATGATATGCAGGACACATACTCTATGTTCCTTCCATCATTGACATACTCTTGAGCAAAGCTTTTTTCATGCCACCAAATTCCCCAAATTAGTCTCCCATCAATACATATTTTACTACACGATATGACCCCCTTCTGTCCTCTAGTTCTTTATTCATCTGTGTCCTCAGCTGTTCCTTTAAAAGAAAAGGTTTTTTAACCAGCAAGTGAAAAACGTCCGCAGGCATCTTACATTGCTTAATTAAAAAAAAGGAACAAAACCAAAAAGCGCCATCCAGCCAGCTTCTTCTTTTGGAGAACAGCTTTACATTCCTGAGAGTGAATATCTGTTGGAACAAGACCGCCTCTGAATGTTCCAGGACTTGTCACACATTGTAATCTGGGGACTTCCCCTGCGGTCGTCGCAGTCGGATTTGCAACGTTGAAAATGCTCCCACAGTCACATGAAAGAAGAGCTGCCACAGGTTGCGCAGTTCATACAGGTACATGTTACACAGGCAAATTAACCCAAAAGTCAGGAAGGATTTGGCATTCCTCCAGCCTGTGTAATATACGAACAGGTAACACTGTCAGGAGAAAAAAACGGTGTTACTGCACAGAAAGCAGCTTCCAATAAAGAAATGCCTCTAGTTATTAATTAATCAGCAGAAAATATCCCACAAACAAGTCAAACTCGAAACATGTAACACCGGTGTTAACTTAGCCCATGCTGAAGTAAAGTGGATGTTCCTGGCAATCTCCAGTCAAAAACATGCTCTTTGTTCTGCTTCAGAAGAAACAAGACCCAGTTTACATCCTCCTCAGAGGAAAGAGTGGGAAAGACATGGAAAATCTCTAAAAGGACACAACTGTCCCACATTGCTTTGTGTTATCTTCACTTTTGCTACTGTTCTGCCTACTTCGTTTCCACAAAAAAAGGAAAAAAGAAAAAAGAAAAGAAAAAAAGTTTGCCTCATCTGCATTTCAGCCATTTCCATCTGTCAAAGACAGTTCTTGCTGGGCTGCAAGGAAAATACCAGCGTCACTTAGGTTTAATTTTTAATCGAAATTTCTTCCCACAGAGCAAATAATGATGTTCACACCAATATTTAACCAAATTCATCATCAGATTATCTAAGTATGCTCTTGGTTCTTTATTTGCTGTGTTTTATCTATGCCAGAGAAATTCCACTTCATTCTTTTCATCATTTATGTTCCTCAAAAAATGCCAAAGCATTTTACACTTGCAGCCGAACAATATAATGTACTGGGGTTACTTTATGGAAAACCTACAGACATGAAATGTAAGCATAAAACATCAGACAGGGAAACACAGTGGAAAGTGACTGAAAGATCTCAAAAGGAAAGAGATGCATGAGAATGTATGAAGTGGGAGAAAATCTTGGGTGCAGTGCCTATGTATTAATATATACACTCACATCCTTCCAAAGGAAAGAAATGCTAGATACACTTAAGCTAAGAAACTTGTACTTGAAGTAAACAAAAGTCTCAAGCAATGGAGATTATAACAGAGAAGCTACACCAGATCTCTTAATCAACTACCTGGAAAAACATGTCAGCAGGCAGATGTATGTATGAATCTACTGTGCGACAGTCTATGATCAATGCATTAAAATACAGAAATTATTTTCATAATGACTGTATCCAAGTAGCTGTGACATTTAGGAAAATGTGTTCTTCTAAAATTCTGTGATTCTATGTTGACACTTATGCATGACTAAGAGATGTGTCTCAATTTCAGTGAATTAGGCAAGCACCAGAACACACCTGGTACAAACAGGCTGCTGTTCCGAGAAAAAATGCAATAACATAGCTGAAATCTTCACCTTCATTCTGTGAAAACAAAGCAAAAAGCAATGTTTTACAATGTTTCAATGAAATACCAGATTGCATCCATGGCAGTTCTTCAATGTATGTTAAGACAGCCTTACACAGAGATTTACACAGATTCCTGTGTAAGCTAAATCAAAGCTGGCACTGGACATTCTCCAGATGCCTCTGAAAATTCGAGTCTAAATGCTGTTAACTGCCTTTAAAATCAGGTTTGCACAACTCTACTCTCCTGTATCTTCCAAGAATGGGAAACAAGGTAAAAGAGAAGGACACAAACTGGCCACTAGGGTGTGGTAAAACGCTACACAGAGAACAACGCAGGCCACTCTACATTAATGGCCACAAGAACAAACAAAACAAGTTTATCAGACAGATTATTAGAAAATTTTGTTTTCTTGAAGGAAAAGATGGGAAAAAAATACCTGATATGTACAGATGTTTCCACTCTGTGTTTAAAAAACAGAAAAAAAAACAACACAGACAAAAATGTGTAGGTCTGTACATAAAGGTCAGGCTGGATGGGGCTGTGAGCAACCTGTCCAGAGGAAGCTGTCCCTGCCTACAGCAGCAGGGTGCAACTAGGTGATCTTAAAGGTTCCTTCCAACCCAAACCATTCTATGATAAAGCTGACCTACATACATACATAATGCAGCACTCTCCTAAACCACGGGCAAATCTTTGCCTCACAGCACATTTGCTGAAGCACAGTTATAACAGAGTTTGGCTAATATCCAGGACAAATGCTGGGTCAAAAATCCCACTCATGTTGGGCCAAGAAGGCCCCACAGCATGGGGCACTTTCAGTCCTCTTGCTAACTCTTGCTGAGACCTCCAAGATTACTATTTCATTAAGTCTTTACATGTAACTCTGTCAATACCCAGAATAAAGGTTTGGGCAGAGTTCACATAAGCAAATAAACATGGGGGGGTTGAGGTACTTTTTTTGTACATTTTTGTTTGGAAACAAGAAATCACTCGGCAGTTTCCCCTGCATTAAGCCTTTCAGAACACCAAGAACAATAAGTAACCTGAAGTTTATGAAAAATAAACAGAAACGCAGAAAGGTTTCTAAAAAAGGGTTTTACAAAGTGGCTTTACAGATCTCTGCATCACAGAACTTGAGAAAAAAAAAGGCCAGATTTTCACAGCTGTCCATCATTTCCTCACAAGTGTTTTTTCATAGTATCTATTAGAGTGTTTCATATCCTGGCATACACTTAGGAAAAAATTTGGTGTTCACATACCCAATACTACCAAAGTATCTACACAGAACGCTGGTCCTTCCTTCCTCACCTTCCATTACTTCTGTATTTCCCAACATTAACAAACAATGCATCCCTCTCAGAAAGGATACACAGCTTATAAACAACGTAAGTGTCATAAAGATCTGACCTCACAACCACATATTTGTGAAAATAAAGCTGGCAAGACTTCCTTCACATAGCAAGCACATTCAGAGATGACAGCACGATTACCACGAAGCACAACTCACATTCAGAGGCATGGTACAATACCTGCAGAAGACTTTCTATGGCATGAAAGCCACGAATTAAATTCAAAGCTCCGCACAGGAGACTGAGTACAAATGAGACAATCCCAGGCAGGGTCACAGGTTCCAGACGTTGGTGAGGAGCTGCAAAAAGACAAAAAGAAAAACTCAGTCCAAGTGGTATATTAAAAAAATATAGTACAATATTAATCTACTTTTTCCAGTCTTCTAGTTCACAAGAGGCTGCTGAAGCAAACCACAAAATGTATTATTTTTTAAGAAAAGGAAACATTTTAAGTTTGAAGGAAAGCATATTTTCCTTCCATTATTGTAAGACCAACTTGTCTCACTATATTTAGTCTTTAACTCTTGTACGTTCAACAAGACCTCAGTAAGGTCTTAAAAGCTGCTTAAACATGCCAGGAAATCAATGCAAATGATGCACTTGCTAGTAAAATTTGCCCACAATTAATAGCCAGGTAATAGGTCACATACTTAAGAGCTCCTCTCACAATCTTCGTTTTTCTTTAACACTAATGTATTAGCAGACCTATCAAGACTTATTTAGCTGCTTGCTGAACTGGAACACTCTGAGCCAGAACCTATTACTCTCCTCTACCTTTAAAAAGTGCAGCCAGGAAGTACTACCATAGGCAGAAACAGAATAGTTTTGAAACTACAGCACATTACCAACCTTAAAATCTCATACAGGCCTTCCAGACAGTGTTTAGAAGGACATTAAAATTAAAACACTCTTTCCTTTAGGCTTATCTTAACATCACAAGTACATAACGGTTGTGTTTGTTTGCACTGACTGTGCCTTTCCATAATTAATAACAGAAAGCAAATATGAAGAAGTGATGCAAAACTCTTAGCAACACAGGGAAAACAAAAAGACTGCTGAACCATGCTTAAATCATTCTGTTGGAACCACTCAAGTGTAAAGATGTGAGGAATGAGGTTAATGAGCCGCAGCACTAATAGAGAAAGGGGTCCCAATCCTGGCTGTGCACGCTGCACACATCCAGTTTATGAAGTTGCAGAAACTAAACAAGACAATGACCAAAGCGGCGTCACACTGATAAGCAGACAGGGCTGTCTGACTACCAGTGTGTGGTAACTTACAGCACAAAACGAGTTCTGCTAGCTCACTTGTGCTACATTCAGTATTTAATAATGAACTTACAGGACTACTACTAGAAATCACTCTGTTATGGTTACATACAGTACCTGCACACCAAACTGTTCTTTAACTCTGACTCCCAACTTTTCTAAATAGTCCATCTCACCTAGAGTGCAGCAAAGAGCTTAGGGCTTATGTGACTGCTTTTGCTCCCAAGTCCCCGTGTTTCACTAACTAGTGAATAAAAGCAGCTCTCCGGTGAGTTCTGACAACTCACACACAGCTCTCCATGTTGCTGTAACCAGGAAAACTGGTTTACTGTAAAGCAGCATGTATTAAAGTGCTTAAAATGCCTCTTTGGAACCATGGGGAGGAAAAGTAAACACTGCTGTCAGTTAAACAAGAGAGACTCTGAAGAAGCGTGAAATTATAATGTTTCCCTCTTATTAAAACAAACAAACAAACCTAAAAACTATAAAGGGCACTGCACAGTGCTACTGATGTCCAGAAGCTCTCCCGGGCTTAATAAATCTCAGTTTCACTATCAAAGGAAAAAAAGTCATTTAAGTACGGTAAAATAAAGGCAAAACCATAAGAACGAAGGGGTACTGGATAAGACAGGGCAAAGGCCAGCTGTCCTCAAGTCAGTCCATCTACAGATCTTACAAGATCATAACAGCTATATCAAAAACTCTCTTCAGCAAGGCAAGGATCAAAGAAACCAGAAATTCTGAACTAAAACTTTGAAGTTTAGATAACTATTTAGAAAGAGGCTAAAACACTACAGCTTGGATATACACCCAACTGCAGGTAGAAGAAAGTAATAGATAATAGTTTATCAAACCTTTACACAACCAAAACACATTAATTTCTACCATGCCATGCAACAACACTTGTGCCTGACTTCCTATCCAACTCATTTATTGTACTTCACTTATAGCGTGGCATATTTTTAACAGGACAGCATATGTAAAAGTTACACTACACACAGCACATCTTCTTGTGAGATGCATGAGTTTCATTAGGGCCAAGTGTCGGGTGCTGCATTTTGGTCACAACAACCCTACAGGCTTGGGGAGGAGTGGCTGGAAAGCTGCCTGATAGAAAGGAACCTTGGTGTCCTGATGGACAGTCAGCTGAATACAAGCCAGCAGCGCGCCCAGGGGGCCAAGAAGGCCAGTGGCATCCTGGCTTGTATCAGGAATGGTGTGGTGAGCAGGACTAGGGAAGTCATCCTGCCCCTGTACTCTGCACTGGTGAGGCCTCACCTCAAGCACCGTGTTCAGTTTTGGGCACCTCAGTACAGAAAGGACACTGAGATGCCTTGGAGCAGGTCCAAAGAAGGGCAACAAGGCTTGTGAAGGGCCTGGAGAATATGCCCTATGAGCAGAGACTGAAGGAACTGGGGATGCTCAGTCTGGGGAAAAGGAGGCTGAGGGGACACCTTATTGCTCTCTTCCAATACCTGAAAGGTGCTCACAGCAAGAGCACGGTTGGTCTCCTCTCATCGGTGACAAGACAAGGAAAACGGCCTTAAGTTGTGCTAGGGTGAGTTGGGTTGGATATTTGGAAACACTTCTTTATAGAAAGGGTTGTTAAGCACTGGAATAGGTTTTCCCCAGGGAGGTGATTTTGTCACCATCCCTGGACGTATTTAAAAACTGTTTGGATGTGGTGGTAAGGGACATGATTTAGCAGATGTTTGTTAGTTAGGGTAGTATGGTTAGGTCATGGACTCAATGATCTTTAAGGTCTTTTCCAACCTGAGTGATTCTATGATTTTATGCTGTCCTTAAAGCAAAAGGGAAATTCTGAAGTCCAGTGAACAGTCTGTGTAGTAAACATCCAGAGAAGGCTCTTTTCAAGGAGGGAGAGAATTTACAACAAGTGTGAAGTATTATGAAGGTGTCCGCAGACATGCTCAGAAGTCACATTCAAGATGCTATTATTCAGTAGCATCTAAAACTGGAAGAGCTGAAGGAAGAGGAAAGTGCAAGCCTTGTATAATGTACAGCTGTTATGGGTTTTATGATTGTTATAGTATTCCACACCATAACATCATGTAATGCACTGGGGGGTTTGACTTCTGATGCTCGAGTCCCAATTGTTTGTCCGACGGAGAACTACATTTCCCCAGGAGGCTTTGCAGTCAGCGAGGAGATATAACTCTCTGCAAGGTCACCTGATGCCTTCTTCTTCGCCCGCTCTTCGCCGTTTGCTTTCCTTCATTCACTCAACTGGACTGCACTTCTCACCTCAGCACTGTGGTGAGGCCTATCTACCATTCAGACAAACTCTCTCTCTCTCATTGTACTTTGCTAACACTATATTTAGTAAATCATTTGTTCCACCTCAGATTATTGCCATTGTTTTCAATTATTTTGGGGTCCCCTGTTTCCCTTTTCCAGAGGTGCGGATCCACAAATCCCTCTGCCCCGCTGGTCATGGAACTGGGCCGAACCAGTCCGGAAACCACTGACATGCAGCCCTTTGATGGCAAGTTTCTACAGCAGTTCAAGGATGAAAACAGATAACTGAACAGAGAGATACAAGGAATTCAGAGGAGGAAGAACGTTAGAAGTAATCAAAAGGGGGAAAATAACCAGAAGCCAAGATAGAATGAAAGAGGACAACAGAACAGCTTCCATACAGACAGGCTGTGGGGAGGTGGGGAAAAGATAAATCAGATGATTATCTGCCACATCATAAACAGTTTAAATGTACAGCTGACTTTGATGCAGGCAGAACTCTCAATAAATAAATGCTTATTGTTTATAATTCTTCTAGTTACAAACTGATTCGGAGCACTCAAAATAAGAAATCTTAGCATAAGTTTCAGCCCAGTTGAAAACCACATCATGCCATGTTTACTTCCTACATCAGGTCAAATGAAGTTTAAAAAAGAAATATTAAAGACTGCTTAAGTGAGTATGACAATACAAAATGACATCACACATAAAGCACTTATTTCAGATAGAACTTATTTTAGCATAGCACTTAGGAAGTATCCATTGATTGTGAAATTTCAAAGCATCCGCATCCCTCTGGGCAGACATAATTAAAATTGTGATATATCATAGAATGTGGAAAAAAAAACCAAAACACCAAAGCAATCATCTTGTTAAGTGCTCTTTTTCATTTGCTTATTTTCATGCAGATTTTTTCCTTCGATAAGCTGTCCATTGAATAGGCCCATAGCTCTCTATGAACGCCTTAAAAAGATGGAACACTTAGGGCTGAGAACAAATATCTAAGCTAAAGCATAAAACTGTCGTGATATAACATGCATTTTATGAATACCGTAGTGAAAAACCTTTTTTTTTTTTTTCTCTGAAGAAGAAACATTTTGGGAATGCCCCAACTCTGGAGGCATTCAAGGCCAGGCTGGATGTGGCTCTGGACAGCCCAGTCTGGCGGTTGGTGACCCTGCACACAGCAGCAGCTTGAAACTAGAGGATCACTGTGGTCCTTTCCAACCCAGGCCATTCTATGATTCTATGAAAGACTACAATAAAGACAACTCTCTATCTTTGTCATTTAAAGATGCAAATAGAGAAGCTTAAAACTTACCTGCAGATATCTTACCGGTACCCTTATATTCTGCTGCAGATAAATGTGCAAACCCATTAGCTGAACCAAGTTCTGACAGGGAAATTTGATAAGGCGGCCTCAGTTTGATTTCTGTCTGCATGTCAGCAAGATTCATCTTTGTTGATAAAGAACGCGTGTTGTTATATCTCTGTTTGGTCCTCTGAATGAAATTATCTGTGTAAAATTTGAAAGTTATATCCTGATGGATTTCTGTTTATAAAGCGACCCAAAACCACGCAGTTTTATGCACTACACACTTTTCAAACTTGAATAGATGGTTTGAAATGCCTACATTTTTCTTGGCACGTTCCAATACTATTTCAGTTTTGTGACTAATATATCACGTGCTATTTAATTCTGCAGGGAAAAAAATGAATCTCTAGAAAGCTAATTACTTTATAATAGTGAATAAACTCAAGACTTTTCACTGCATGATACTGAAATAATTGCTAATACAATGGATTTACTGCCCTTATTCCAGCTTTTCTGCTAAGTTAAACATCCTTAGGAGAAAATTAATTCTTGAATTCAAGTATAAACTTGGGTATGAGTTGTGCCTGCAAAATATGCAGGCAGAGAAAAACAATACCACATTATAGCAACATAAAGACTGTAACAGACCTACATTCGAACACAACAATTAGTAAAATGAAAGCATAAAATAATTTTAAGGAAGTCTTTATAGACAAACATCATACAAATATTGTTACTAATAGACCGACTAAACTACAGAGAAATTAACTAGATGGAGCATTTCCTCAATATTTGTTAGATAGATATTGATATATATTATAACTTCCTCCAAAACTGCAGGTTTTTTGCTCTGATGCACTTATAAGAACACTTAAAATAACACACAGATTACAGTATTAAAGCAACAGATATTAATAGAATCCATAAGAGCTGCAATCAGGTTTATATGAGATTAGTTGTATCTGGAGCTTGCGTGACAGAAGATTAAATGCCTATCATAAGACAAATAAAAACATCTCCTTTCCATGCACTGAATCAGAACTGCTGCATAGCTAAGAGCCAACAAGAAAACGCAATCTTTTACTTGAGGAATTTATGAAGCTCAGTGCCTTCACAGGTTCAGAAGTACAAAGTCATCAGCTCCATGTATGATTAACTAGGAGAAGCTAAACTCTGATTTGGTCAAACAAGTTATGAGCCAAAATTAACCTGAATGTCTGTATAAAACTCTAGTAGCCCAATTTAAAGCCAAGAGTTGTTTTCTTTCGAACCGATCCTAATGGGAGTTACATCAGACTCCAAATCCACCTGAAGCACAGCTACAAGCTACCTCAGACATTTCTGTTTTGCGTATATTAAGTTGCACATCTATTTAAATAAGCATTTGAGTCAGTGTGAGAATGAGCATGAAAAGAAATCAGATCCTTACCAAACTCTATAAAACAGTATGGTCTGACAGCAGTATTTGTCTTCATCATATTGTAGGTAGTGATGAATTCTTTCTGAAGCTCATCCAGGAAGCAGAAAGCCAAAACACTGGGATAGTTCTCAGTGCACAACATCATGTAAGTTACTCCCAGAGAACTGATAAAGCTGTAATTGAGACAACAAAACCAGAATTTCAAATGTCTTTCTAGGTAACAGGCAGCTTCATTAGTTTGATCTCATATTCCACAATCAGAAAAGCAAAATACTGGGATAACAAAGGAACTAATGCTTAATGAAAAGTCAAACTCTATTCTACAAGAAAATAAATTCAGTTTTAGTCAATGTTTTTACACACGTACATTGTGTATGTACATATACATATGTACACATCCACTCATCCACGGATGAGATAATCAAGTTTTGGGATTATTACATAGCTTTTAAATCTGCTGCAGACTAAAAAGAGAAAATAAATAAGAAATAGTTGAACTGCAATGACAAAGGACAAATGTGATCATTTTTATGTGAAAAGCAACTTTGAAGTTAACAAAAATGCTTCTAGCAAGTCAAAAACTTTGAAATTAGGTGTTATAAATTTTGAACTAGGACTTCTACTGAAGTGTAACCAGGCTTCAAATCTTTCCACTATTTCTCAGTTTGCAACTTTTGATATACAAATACTGCCAAGTACTACTCTTATTAGCGACACAACTAATGGTATGGCCTCAAGTTGTACCAGGGGAAATTCACGTTGTATATTAAGAAAAATTTCTTGACCAAACAAGTGGTCAGGTGCCGGAACGGACTGCCCAAGGAGGTGATGGATCCACCATCCGTGGAGGTGTTTAAAAAACATTTGGATGTGGTACTAAGGGACATGGAATACTGGTGGTAGGTGGACAGTTGGACTGGATGAGCTGGGAGGTCTTTTCCAACCTTGGTGATTCTATGATTATTCTGAATAACCATTTCTACTGTTCAAGCATTAACTTTACAGACAAAGGATGCGACGTGTGGAAAAAGATGCTACATTATATGAAAGAGAAGCCTTACTTTATGTTGTACTGTCCAGTTTTCAGAGTACATCTATCAGGAAGCTGAGAAAGTTTCTTTGAGAGCATTTTAAAGTATTTTCTACATTCTTGCACTCCCGTGCTTTGATCATAATCGGTGGATGCAGACAGTGGGAGTCCATCCCTCACACGGACCACAGAGGCAGATAAAATCATAGACATTGCCAGCAGTTAACAACAACCTAAAGCAAAACACAAAATGAACTCAGAAATACATGAGGAGATGAATCAGAACTAAGGTCCAACTGAAAACAAAGGAGTTAATTAAAGGAGTGATTAATCAAACTGTCCAAACTTTGTGCTGGGCTCAAGCTTAAAAACAGAATAGGGGGATTATTTGCAGCTACAACTCAGACTGAAGCTGTAAGTGAAAAGGACCTATTAGTCCATGTAAATCACAAAGTGGCAGTAAACAGAATGTCCATTTCCAAACCTTTTTTTTTTTTTTTTTTTTTTTTTTAAAATCAGAATTGCCATAAATTCTCACCCAAAGATACCTATGGAGGGGATACACTAGTACTCAGCCTTAGCACTGCTGTAATTGCTTTCTTCAAGCTGAGAATTTTATTATTATTTTTTCAAATGAGAGAAAAAAATGACAGCACAAACAACAGCTGGATAGGAAAAGTATGTGCTATAAGCATACATCAGACAGAAAACATATCCAGGTCTTTATAGCAACAGTGTTGATATGCTTTCATGAAGCTCTTACTGAGTGCTTGCTGAAGTACCTTGACAAACAGAGATGATATCAAATAATAAAAAATATCAAGGAATAAAAACAGCAAGGAAGGTAATCCTGCTCTCCCAAATCACATAAGAATTTCTTACACATAATGCATCTTCCTTCTTATCTGGTTCTTCATTTTTACATCTGTGAAACACATCTGTCAGCAACATGGAAACACTGGGCAAGATGAGAAGGTGCTTGCAAAGCCTGTGTGCTTTTCCAGTATTGAATTTTCAAGTGTAACAATTAAAGCTCTGGGGAATCCAGACACTTAAAGAACAAAAAAATTGTGTACTTAAACATTTCCCACACAAAAGGAGTAAAATTGTAGCAGGCAATTAACACTATCAACTGTATAAACACCCATCCTACAGACAAGTCTTTCAGGAGAGACGACAAGTTTAAAACTTCCAAGTTCTTCAAACCTCACATTAAATCAAAACATGCAGAAGTTTATCAAGACAAGCTTTATGCAGATTTTTTAAAAGATTACTCTGACAAGTGGGCGAACTGCTAGAATCAATCTGAAGCCAAAAGCAAACACTTCCTTGTCAACTCCTAACACTGCTCTGCTGACTCCTACCATTTGCTACACCTATCACTTCAGAAATTGCAAAAAAAGTGGGTTTTGCCTCCCTCAGATGATGCTACTGAAGTTTCATATAGTCATAAACTGCAACAGAAAACAGATTTCTGAATACAACTGAAATATGCTTTAGTGTGCAATACTGACATGTTTGCAGCACCTTTCAAACCATGACATTACAGTGCTTTACGAGCCGTAGCAGCTCAAGGACTGGATTCTGAAAACCTAGGAATCCAGATTTTCCTCAATTAGCACTGCCTCTTCATAAAAGAAAGTAAATGAAACAGTTGGTTTTCCCCTGAATTCTAATCTCTCCACTTTTCCACTTCACAAAGGTTATAAATAAGGATACTTACTGAGTATTAATCAATACTGAAGTTGCTTGTGTGTACTTACTGCTGAGAAAGACACATGTGCAGATACAAACACAGAAGATTTATTGTAATTTCCAACTTAAGAAGTTCAGCCTCATCAGCAAACTTCAGCCTGTTTTGAGATGCTGCAAGTTAGCTATGCACTGAACTTGGAACAGCAGCAGAAGACACCACTGTCTGTAGTCTACAGAGAGCCTCAGAGCTCTATAAGGTATGCTTGTCATTTCACCATTTCATCACAGAATTCTTCACTGTACAAAGTGCTTTGACCAGGAGGATGTACAAACAAAAAAATAAAAGCAACCAGAAAACAACTTCAGGACTTCCCAGAGTTAATTTAACCTGCAGTTCTAGAAATTTTTTCTCTATGTGTGCTTAAATTGATGTATATGCTTCCAGCAAGACAACTCACATGGAAAACAAACATCTCTTGTATCCTTAACTATACTGCTAGCCAAGTGCCCATGGCAGCAGCTCCACAGCATGACAAAACTGCAGAGGAGCTTTAAATTGCAATGGTTCTCACATAATTATCACCTGGGACCTAATTCTGAAAGGGACTTCTGCAAGTTATTTCAATATGAACATAAGAACTAAAATGGGATAGCAAAGTTTAAAATTCCCCTCTTAACTTACTTGCACAAGATGTAATTTCATGGATCTGCATTTCCACTGATGAAGCCAATAACTCCATTAGCAGCTAAAGTGAAAACAGGAACTTATCTCCATGTCCCATCCTAGGAAAAGGCAGTGAGTATGGTGGCACTGCAGGAGGAGCTCAGAATCCTGTTGCCAGCTCTCGGAAGGAAAAGTATTATTCTGTCCACTGAAATGATCTTGATCGTTACAGCTCATCTTGTGCCATCTGATGAGAACAATCAGAAAAAAAATAATGAATGTATTTACTGGCTAACAACGTTCTTACGCTCTTTTTATGAGGGCACACTGGTTGGAAAGGCCTGAACACACCCAACAGGATCACACGGGTACTCAAGCAACAGGAATATTAAAACGTTTCACTGCTCCTTACCAGAAACTGAAGAAATCCCATTACTTCAGCCATTTGGGAACAAATACATTGCCAGCTGTACAGTACATTATTAATGCAGAATAACATTGCCTTGTCTGAATCCTACCACACGCTTCACATATTAAATTCAATTAATTCATTATTTCCTCTGATTGGAAAATTTAGGAACGTAGCACAACATGACCACAGTTGTATTTCCAGAGCATTCAGGCTCTCAGTATTCAGTCTAACAAGAGCTGTTCTACACTCAAGGATAAAGAAAGCACCACTAACAACAGAATGTATGCGTGGGCATCATAATGAACCCATTAGAGGTATTCTTTCCATTTAGATGTATATCTTAAATAAACATTTGCATAAATCTAGAACGAAAACAGTTACATTCCTCAGGACTCCTACTTAGAGAAATTAGTCTGTTACAGAAGATAAGCCAACACTGCAACCGGCCAGTTCTCTCCATGCACTATAAAATACACAGGGAAAAAAAACTGTGTTTGTCTTAATATCAACAGTTAACCAGCTTCCACTATCATCATTTTGAAAATCCAACCAGTGAAAAGATCTGTTTTTTTCTCAGCTTCCTGAACTTGGACCAGCAGCAGAAGCCACAGCTTTCAGCACATTCAGAAAGCCACCTGAAAATGAAGTCAATAAAAGAAATACCACACTGTTGCACAATCACATGTACACACACGTACAGCACCTATACTGTAATACAACATTCAGCCTCACCTGAAAACATTTTTAAAAGTTTATTAAATCTTTGAAAAGAAACAAACGACTTCATGCAGCCCTCAAGACAACAGATTCACAGAAGGCATCAGGCAGTAATGTGACATACAGAGGGGGAGACTGAGAAAAGAGCATTAGTGATATGGGAGTGGTTTCAGTACTAAGTTTAAGAGTGTTTTTTTAAACTCATTTTCAAAAGTGCAGATATTACTTCACCATTACTTCAAATTCCACAAGCTTTCCTCAAAAAAAAAAAAAATAAATAAATAAATAAAAAATCATAGAATGGCTTGGGTTGGAAGGGACCCCAAGGACCACCAAGCTCCAATATCCTCCTGCTGCACACAGGGCTGCTTACTTTTAATACTAGATAATAATAATCTATGTCCTTCAACCGCACTCCGCACTCACACCACAAATGGTTCATAAACCCACCGCAGGTATGGGGAAACGAGAGGGATGGGGTTTGCTATCCTGTTCTCTGTGAGCCCTGAGGGCAGTGCCAGGTGTTGGGCTCGGGGTAACACAGACGGTTCTTCAGAGGACACGCAGTCAGCTCGTGGGATTGCTTGTCACAGGATGCTACCGACGCCCAGATGTCAAGCAAATTCAAGAAGCAACTTGAAAAGCTCCCGGAGAAACTACGTGGGTTCTACAAATTGAACCACCGCACCGCTCGGGGAGATTCTGAACCCCGGGGACCAGCAGGGAGAGCTCGTTACAGCAACACCCCGCTACGCTCGCGCCGCTCACACCGCTCCCGGCACGCACCTGCCGGCACGTCTCCACCGAGCTCCGTCCGACGCCGCAAACACGGCCCGTGCGGGCTCAGGGACGAGCAAAGCTCGGCGCTGTGCAGGAGCGCAGCCCGCCCGTTCCTGCGCCGTTCACCACACGTCGGCCTCCGCCGCTCTGACACGTGGCCCCAGGCCCCAGGCCCGTCCCTTCTGCTGGGCGATGAAAAACGCAACCTGCCTTACTTTTACGCCACATTCAACTACCATCCCGTTCATTTCTGTTACGCAGGCACTCAGCACCGAGCGCCCAGAAATCGGAGCGCGTCGCAATGCTCCCAAGCACCCCGGTATAGCCGTTCCCAGCACAGCGGACAGCAAGGCCTCGGCCCAACCGGACACCCCGTGCACAGTCCAGCACAGTCCCAGACAGGGCCGGCTGGCGGCCCCCTCCCCCCGCTTCCCCACTCCTCGCCCTCCCTCAGGCCCGCAGGCGACGAACGGGCCGCGTTGCCACGGCAACGGCAGCGGGGAGCCTCACCGGAACGGAGCGCGGAGCGCCGGCACCTCAACACAGCCACGGCGGCCGCGGAGCACTGTGGGGGACGGGCCACGTCCGCCGGCGCGCCAGCGCCATCACGTGATGCGGAGGCTGCCTCGCCATTGCTCCGCGGGTGGCGCCGGGGGCGGGGCCGGGAGCGTCGCCATGGCGACGCGCAGAGGTTGGGACGGGCCTACAGCTATGGCGGGGCTGCCTGCCTATTCCTTTGGCTCGGGTTCGTTTCAAAATAAAGGAGGCTTTGTAACCGTGCTCTATGGGTTTCGCTGTGTGATAACTTTTTAATTGTCCGACCGGTTTCCACCGAGTTCAGTAGAAGTGCAAAGGACTTGGAGTGTGCTTACCTTCACATAGCTGTTCTGTTAGGTGTCAGCTGCCAGACCATAATTTCGCCCATTCCCAGAGAAATCAACAGCGTGCTCTGACAGTAGAAAGATGAAACTTGGTGAATCTCGTTACTAACACCACATAGAGATGTGTACATTAAAGCTCTCTTTACCAATAGTAGAATAAGAAAGGGCAGACTCCAGTAGGGTTTGTTGTGACAGGGCATGGGGAAACGCTTTCAACCACAAGGAGGGCAGGTTTAGGTCGGATATCAGGCAGTTTTTCATGATAAGGGTGCTGAGGCATTGGCACAGGTTGCCCACAGGAGGGTAGATGCCCTGTTCCCAGGGATGTCCAAGGTCAGGCTGCACAGGGCTTTGAGCACCTGATGGAGATGGAGGTGTCCCTGTTCACAGCAGGCAGGTTGGGCCAGATGGCCTTTAAAGGTCCGTTCCAACTCAATTCTATGGTTGTATGATTCTGTGCATAATTTTCTCCCTGTTTCTCATTGCTACCGGTTCCCTGTCAGATCACACGGTTTTATTCTGTCAGCTCAGCTCTCAAAGGCAAGCAGTCCATTTCCTTGCTAACACCTTCAATTTCTTTGATTTTTACTCATTCTGTACAAGTGCTTGCTGCACCATGTAGTGCTGGCTGCGTGCCTTATGCTCTGGTCACACTCAGCATCTCAGCAGCAAGGTGACCAGGAGAACAGCACCAAAATGCCTCAGCACTTTCCAAATCCAAGACTGCCTTCTCTAAGTATCACCTCCTGCTATAAGACACCCTGGAAACCCCAAGTGCCAGCATACCAATGGCATAGCCTTGAGACAGTGCCTGGCAGTGGTAAGATGGCTCCTGAGCCACCCCTTGAGCTAATGAGTGTTGTGGCCTGCCAGGAAGAAATGCTGTCCCCTGCTGCCTTTTGTAGAGCTGAGTGTGGAATAACTCAATCCTGACCTGATGACAGTGTACATTAGAAAGATAATGTGCTAATCTCAATAATTTCCAGAGCGCCCTTATCCTGTACAAACAGAGTGCACAGCATTACAGGCTGCTACGCAATTTAACAGCATGCGATAGCATCTATATAACGCTGAGAAGTAGTGATTACTTAATTAGAGGCTGCCTAAAGGTCTGTGATAAGTGCACACGTGTGTCATTTTAATTTTTCTCATTCTTGTGAGCTGTTTATCTTTCAGCCCTAAAATTCTCCTGACCATTTGTGAATGTTTTGAAGGCAAGAAGATAAGCGTTTTGCATTTATATAAACACAACTTCAAAAAATATATACAGGTCTATTAGTTAAAACTCACATATCCCTAGGGGAAAAAAGAAAAAGAAAAAAAAAGGTAATATTCTTTATTTTTAGGTGAGCATGGCCCTGGGAGCTTAACAAACTGCACAAGGTCATTGAGGGAGGCAGAAGTAAAGTTACAGCTCCAGCACTCCCAGCTCTTATGGTGAACTTAAATCGTACCCGTTATTCAAGAATGTGCATAGCTAATGAGCCAGATACATTTAAAATATCTTTTTTTCTCGTCCCATTGGTTCCCCTAAGACAGTGAAGCAGTAAAACATTGTTAGAGGAGCACCACACAGGGAATAAATTAGGGAAAGCTGCAGCAACAGATAAAAGTGAGATTTGTAAATCCCACCAGTGCAAAGGCAAATCAAGGGAAGGAATGTAGACATTTGGAAAGGAGGAGAGAGAAAGAGATCAGGAGCAGTGCACAGGTGGGTATGGACAGCCAGAAGTTGAAGAGGACTGGTGCCAAATATGCTGCATGGGTACAGCAAAATGAAGCCATTCAACTGCTGAATATGTCATCAGCCAGCAGGAGAAAAACCAACACCAGAGATGAGTTCCGATGGTTTTAGCTCAAAGAAGTTGCTCCCTGGAGAAGCTGGTTATTGCTTTTGTTGCTCCACAGTGGGTGCAGAATGAACCAGATCTCTAATCCACTTTGTAACCCATTTTTATGGGCTGAAGTGTTACTATCTTCCTTAGGTTTTGCTGATTTAGACTCATCAAACCTTTCATTGTTTTCTAAAACTTCTGTTTACTGAACATCCCTATAATTCTGTTGCTCCCTCCTCTGGACTTTGTCAGCTTCTATATTATTATTTGGTGCCTGTAGCTGGAGGCACCCAGGCTGGGGATTTAGCTGGAAACCAGACTAATAATCCAACGCTGTGCTTCCCATTTCTTTTACAATAATGCCAGTTCCCATGAAAATACGCATATATTGAATCAGTGCCTATCAGTTTGTGTTCAGTGCAGCCCAACCTCATCACCAGTGCTTAAAAATATGAATCAGACCCCTGACACCACAGTGCAGGCTAGGAGCTCATGATATTCTAACAGCTCTGTGCTCTGAAAAAGGTTTGCATCTGATTTGAAAGCTTTTGGACAACGTGATCACAAGAGCTAAGGTTATCTTCTTAGTTTGAATGACTAATAGGAAGTTAGGAAAATTAACACTAGAGACATTGCTTTCCTTGCTGATGAACTCTTCTCACTAACAGAAGTGTTGAGCAAGTTCATAAAAACTATCAGAATATCCATTTTTTTTGCTTCTGTTTTAAATACTCCTTTGCTGATTCAATCCTAAGGGCCGGTGCTGGCCAAAGAGTTTCTTTCATGCAACAACAGTGTTCAATTCTTGAGGGCTTTACACCTCATAATGTCACAATGAAGTATCTCAAAGCTAATAAATGCAGATGTTAGAACAAAACAGCATTATCCCAATGGTTCTTGTTGCAGTAGGCCCCAGCATGATCTCCTGCATAAAGAACATTGTATTGCTGAAAAGCAATCTTCGTGCTGCATCTCAATTAGTTTGAAAAGCGGCATGTTGTTAATGCATTTTTATTTACAGCATTTATTTTATCAGCGTTTTAGGCTTATGGAAATAACACGACTGCGCTTTTCTGATGCTCCTGTCCCAAGCCATCCCTACCATAGCAGTCTCTCCTTGGGGGTTTTCTGGTTGCTTTATTCCCTGGAGAAGAAGCTGTTCTGGAAAGCTGCAGGAATATACTCCCAGTACACATAATCCCTTTAGTTCCCTGCATGACTGTAACTGAACACATTAGCACACTTTGTTTGTATTTAAATATTTTCTTATGAGGGAAAGTCATTCCAAGCTGATCACTTCATGAGGCCAAAAAATTAATTAAGAGAGCCATTTAAAGAATTACAACAAATAAGAAAATTATTATTTGCTAGTAAAGTTTTGCCATAAACACTCCAGTTCATATTCAAGGAGCCCTTAGTCCCTAAAGAAATTAGTTTTTATGATAAAAGCCACAACAAACTTACTTGGGCAGGAAACAAATGCATGGCTTTGCAGTCCACAGTTAGGATGTTCTATTTGAAATTTAATTCAGAAGGACAGAAAGGTTTCTTAGGACTGGAGGGATTAGTAAGTACTGCAATTTCTGATGTAAGATAGAGGTGATAGCTCATAGCTAATAGAAACTCACTAAGACACAGGAATACACTATGGCACAGGCCCAACAGGAACTTCTAGGTCATCAAATCCAATCCCCAGTTACTGCAGGCAGCTGTATCAAATAATCCATGTAAAACATTTTCTGAGCTAAAACCAGGTATGTTTTTGTCCTTATAATTTTTACACCCTCACCAGATAGGTAAATGAAAAACACCAAATTGACAGCCCAAGTTGTTCGTGGCAATTGATTCTCGCTTGTTCTCATGCCCCCTTGTTTTAGTATTTCCCCTACCAGTGAGTTAATAAAGAGCAATCAGTTCTCACCTCAGGCTTCTGCTGCTGAACGAGCAGTCACTTTCATGCCCTAAGAGGTCCTTCAGTCTCCTGTCATCTCAGCAGTTCTTTTCTGCGCTGGTTTCTGTAAGAATCCAGCTTTAACATGACTGATCAGGACCACATATTGTCACAAAGTTTCGTTGGGGTCCTATACAGGGCCATTTATACTCCCTTTCTTTATTGCTAGCATTTCTCCTACTGCACTGTAGGGTTTCAGTAGCCTTTTTGGTCCACACTATATAGAACAGATACTTCTGTGCCATTGCTGCTTCCTGCAGGAGTTGTTCTGCTGTCACCTCCCTCACCAAGGACATTGGATTCTTGCTGTGTGGCATTCTGAACGTTCCCTGCACCAATGATGTCTCTTAGCCACGTGACTTCAAGACATTTCAATTATCAGACGCCTCTGTTTTCCACCTAGGTCATTAAGGAAATATTAAATAATAATCAATCCTAAGACTGACTTGTTAGGAACTCCAGATGATTCCCTTCTGATATGCCTCAGCTTCTCCTAGCACGCTGCCTGCCTTTCAGCTTCTCTATAAATCTCAGACTTCCCCAGGTAGGAGATGTAATTTTACACATGGCTCCTAATCAGCTGCTTTATTGAAGTCCAGACACAGATTTTCCTTCCTTGTCTAGTTAAATAATTACTGTATCAGAGGAAGCTATTGAGTTAGTCTGGCATTATCTAGCCTTAGTAAATACCAATTCAGTTTTATTGTTTTCCATTGACTGTCGTGACTTCTACATTTCTCTCCCTCCGCATTATTTCCTAAAGCTTGGCATAAAGCCTTGATATACACAAAGCAAATGCATTCTGCCTTCCAAATGAAATCCATGTTTTATTCGTCTTCAGTATGGATTATTTATTTACATCAATAATGCATTTTTGAATTTGCAGGTAGAGCTGAGCAGTGATACTAAGCACACTGGATG